GATGCGGGGCTCGATCCCAGGACCCTGGGATCATGACCTGAGCCGAAGGCAGACGCTTAACGACTGAGCCACCCAGGTGACCCCACACATAGTTTTTAAACTAATACATGAGGGGGGAAATTTGGAAAATTTCAAATTCATTACTGTGCAAAAATTCTCTATGTCTTAGTATGTTTCTTTATATAGCCAAAGAGTTCTAATTATTTCAATAATGCAACCAATACTCTTTAAGTACATAATATCAATCTATGAATTAAAAATATTTCACATTAGGTTTCAGTAAGTTCACATCCACTAGCCTCAAATATGATTAACACCACCAACTTCCATACAGAAAGCGGTGTCCTACTCAGTAGATATGGATACTCTTTGGGCAAGACTGCTACCACATCCTTTTGACAAGACTCCAACTGGAGCACTATGCGTTAAGAGGAATACACATTAGTGAGTCCAATTTCCTAATCATGTCCCTTTTCCACCTACCTGCCGATAACTTAGCATGGTTTAAAAGAATTCAACTTTCTCCATATATGCCATAATACCCATTCATGGGTTAATATGTATAATAAAAAACTAATTCCACTAAGTCAAGATATTTTTCATACTCGTATTTTTTGTTTAGTAAGTGCTAAAAGATAGGTTAGCAATTTAAAAATCCAATTTATCAATAAAACATATCTATATTAAAGATGAAAGAATTTCAGAGGGCACTTACATTGGAAGAAAAAAAGCTAGTTGATAAGCAAAATGAAGCCCAATTTCTTCCAAGAAATTTAAAAAGCAAGTTTTAAATGCTTTTAAAAAATAAAAAAGAAATAATACTAGAAAAAGAAGCCAAATGTGCATTTGAAAAATAGAGAACTTGCCTACAGTTACGTAAGCAATTAAAATAAAATGAATAAAAATGCAGCATTAAACATGCTGCAAAATGTGCACACTCAATCCAGCCAAGACAGTTACACCCACTCCCATTAGTAAAACAAAATGTAAGACAAAATGGGAAACTAATGAGCTCAGCTGCAGGGGCTTGTTTGTTTGTTTTTTAATTTCATCCATTTGCTCAAAACGTAGTTTCTATTTTACCCTAAAGTCTTTGTTGGATATAAGGGGAATCAAATGTTCCTAAACAAAAATCGGAATAAGCTCTGAAAATGCATAATACAAGCCTCATTTGTTCTAATGCACATCTGGTGTATTCTGTTTTAACATTTTTGACAGGTTAATCGTTTGTCTTCATGTTTAAAGAAACAAATGTTTTGCCAGTGCTGTTAAACAGATCCTGGGGC